ACTCCCTCATGGCTATGCCCCCTGCCATTACATTATCCCTTGTGATTATCCCCCCCAACACCATTATCCCACATGGTTATTCCCTCCACCATTATCAGCCAAGGTAAAACCCTCTATCATTATCTCTTATCACCTATGCTTACACCGCCAACATCATCCCCCATGGCTCTAACCTCCCTACCAATATCCCCATGGTTAACACCGCCACCATGTTTATAAACAGCTACTTTGTATTTCTTTATCTCCCTCTGAGCAATGTTTATAAACAATGTTACTTTGTATCTCTCTATCTCCCCTCTGATCAATGTTTATAAACAATGTTACTTTGTATCTCTCTATCTCCCTCTGACCAATGTGTATAAACAATGTTACTTTGTATCTCTCTCTCTCTCTCTCTGAGCAATGTTTATAAACGATGTTACTTTGTATCTCTCTACCTCTCCTCTGATCAATGTTTATAAACAATGTTACTTTCTATCTCTCTCTCTCTGATCAATGTTTATAAACAATGTTACTTTGTATCTCTCTCTCTCTCTCTGAGCAATGTTTATAAACGATGTTACTTTGTATCTCTCTACCTCTCCTCTGATCAATGTTTATAAACAATGTTACTTTCTATCTCTCTCTCTCTGATCAATGTTTATAAACAATGTTACTTTGTATCTCTCTCTCTCTCTCTGAGCAATGTTTATAAACGATGTTACTTTGTATCTCTCTACCTCTCCTCTGATCAATGTTTATAAACAATGTTACTTTCTATCTCTCTCTCTCTGATCAATGTTTATAAACAATGTTACTTTGTATCTCTCTCTCTCTCTCTGAGCAATGTTTATAAACGATGTTACTTTGTATCTCTCTACCTCTCCTCTGATCAATGTTTATAAACAATGTTACTTTCTATCTCTCTCTCTCTGATCAATGTTTATAAACAATGTTACTTTGTATCTCTCTCTCTCTCTCTGAGCAATGTTTATAAACGATGTTACTTTGTATCTCTCTACCTCTCCTCTGATCAATGTTTATAAACAATGTTACTTTCTATCTCTCTCTCTCTGATCAATGTTTATAAACAATGTTACTTTGTATCTCTCTCTCTCTCTCTGAGCAATGTTTATAAACGATGTTACTTTGTATCTCTCTACCTCTCCTCTGATCAATGTTTATAAACAATGTTACTTTCTATCTCTCTCTCTCTGATCAATGTTTATAAACAATGTTACTTTGTATCTCTCTCTCTCTCTCTGAGCAATGTTTATAAACGATGTTACTTTGTATCTCTCTACCTCTCCTCTGATCAATGTTTATAAACAATGTTACTTTCTATCTCTCTCTCTCTGATCAATGTTTATAAACAATGTTACTTTGTATCTCTCTCTCTCTCTCTGAGCAATGTTTATAAACGATGTTACTTTGTATCTCTCTACCTCTCCTCTGATCAATGTTTATAAACAATGTTACTTTCTATCTCTCTCTCTCTGATCAATGTTTATAAACAATGTTACTTTGTATCTCTCTCTCTCTCTCTGAGCAATGTTTATAAACGATGTTACTTTGTATCTCTCTACCTCTCCTCTGATCAATGTTTATAAACAATGTTACTTTCTATCTCTCTCTCTCTGATCAATGTTTATAAACAATGTTACTTTGTATCTCTCTCTCTCTCTCTGAGCAATGTTTATAAACGATGTTACTTTGTATCTCTCTACCTCTCCTCTGATCAATGTTTATAAACAATGTTACTTTCTATCTCTCTCTCTCTGATCAATGTTTATAAACAATGTTACTTTGTATCTCTCTCTCTCTCTCTGAGCAATGTTTATAAACGATGTTACTTTGTATCTCTCTACCTCTCCTCTGATCAATGTTTATAAACAATGTTACTTTCTATCTCTCTCTCTCTGATCAATGTTTATAAACAATGTTACTTTGTATCTCTCTCTCTCTCTCTGAGCAATGTTTATAAACGATGTTACTTTGTATCTCTCTACCTCTCCTCTGATCAATGTTTATAAACAATGTTACTTTCTATCTCTCTCTCTCTGATCAATGTTTATAAACAATGTTACTTTGTATCTCTCTCTCTCTCTCTGAGCAATGTTTATAAACGATGTTACTTTGTATCTCTCTACCTCTCCTCTGATCAATGTTTATAAACAATGTTACTTTCTATCTCTCTCTCTCTGATCAATGTTTATAAACAATGTTACTTTGTATCTCTCTATCTCCCTCTGATCAATGTTTATAAACAATGTTACTTTCTATCTCTCTCTCTCCTGGACTGGAGCTCAAGGGCTGATTTTACATTTTTAGAAGGTGGAACTTTTCTAAATGTGTAATGACGGGAATTTCTTTAAAGCTATTTACAGTCCACATTACGTTGCACGGGCTATGCAATGAAAACTCAGAGAACAGGCACATTGAAGGATCTGTGTAGAGTTTTTCATTGTATGAACATGCTTGTGTCCAGGAATGTTGTCAGGCAAGTAGTCACCAGCGCAGGCTGGAAGGATCACCTGATGCTCATACTACTGTTCTGGGTTTATAGAATGGCGTCAGAAGTGGATATGGTGGGCGTGGCTCCGTGAGGTGTGAATGCGACACACAATGCACAGCAGGCAGACGTCTCATAGGGTAAAATGAAATCCTATATCAAGCTGCTGCAGAAGAGTATCGGTTTATTTATTTATTACAGGTATTCATATAGCGCCGACAATTTACTCAGCACTTTGCATAGTTACACATTCACATCAGTCCCTACCCTCAAGGAGCTTACAATCTAAGGTCCCTATCTCACATACATACATACATACATACATAGAGGGCCAACTTAGAGAAGAGCCAATTAACCTTCCAGCATGTCTTTGGAGCGTGGGAGGAAACCCACGCAAGCACAGGGAGAACATGCAAACTCCTTGCAGATCGTGACCTGGCCGGGATTAAAGCTAACCAATGCTATAGGACAGCGGCAGCGAACCTATGGCACGCGTGCCAGAGCGGGCACGCAGGGCCGTTTCTGCTGGCACGCGAGCCCAGGTCCGCCGTACCACTTTACAATTCACTGATGGGCACGCAGGCGCAAAAAAAAGTTACGGAGATGCGGTCATCTACTGGCGCGCAAGTGCATTGAAGAGGAGCCGCGCAGGTGCAGTGACGTCAACGACTGACGAGGTATGTATGGCGCGCGCGCTCTAGCATTACCTCAGACACAGGAGAGCACGCTAGACGGCCGCTCGCTGCGGCCTGTCAGGGCCCTAGCCCTAGGTTTAGTGCCAAAATCATGTCATATGTGTGCAGAGTAACCAATGGTGGTAAACTCATGTGACTGAAGTGCAGTTGACAACAGCAAACAGATGCACATTAAATGAATGGAATGCTATAGGAAGTTGTCAGAGACTGCAGACATAGTACAGGAGATGGTCAGAGACTGCAGACATAGTACAGGAGATGGTCAGAGACTGCAGACATAGTACAGGAGATGGTCAGTGACTGCAGACATACAGGTGAAACTCGAATAATTAGAATATCGTGCAAAGTTCATTTATTTCACTAATGCAACTTAAAAGGTGAAACTAATATATGAGAGAGACTCATTACATGCAAAGCAAGATAATTCAAGCCGTGATTTGTCATAATTGTGATGATTATGGCTTACAGCTCATGAAAACCCCAAGAACCCCAAATCCACAACCTCAAAAAAGTAGATTATTACATGCAATCAATAAAACAAGGATTGTACATAGAACAATACCGGACCTCTGAAAAGTACAAGCATGCATATGTACTCAGTACTTGGTTTGGGCCCCTTTTGCAGAACTTACTGCAATTAATTTTGCATGATATTCTAATTATTCGAGTTTCACCTGTAGTACAGGAGATGGTCAGAGACTGCAGACATAGTACAGGAGATGGTCAGAGACTGCAGACACAGTACAGGAGATGGTCAGAGACTGTAGACACGGTACAGGAGATGGTCAGAGACTACAGACACGGTATAGGAGATGGTGAGGGAGTGCAGACACGGTACAGGAAATGGTGAGAGACGCGGTACAGATGGTCAGAGACTGCAGACACGGTACAGGAGATGGTCAGAGACTGCAGACATAGTACAGGAGATGGTCAGACTGATGAAGGTGTGTTCTGGGACATCACTCAGCCCTCCAATGAACAGGCTACCCTAACACAACGCACAATGGCACCAAAACAAACGTCCATTATGTTTATAAGGAAATGTATTTTTTATTGTTTCCTATTGAGCAGCTTAGGAAAATTAGCTTTAGAAATCAATATATATTATAGTGCAGCTGTGTATCATTCTGTATCTTGTCTCTACCCCTCACCACAAGATTCTAGCTCTGCTGAGCCTTGTAGTGCCTCTGATCAGAGGGCGTCATCCCCAGAAACACAGCCTGGCATTCCGCGACCCAAATATCACGTGATCTACCCAGCCCGCCTCCTTCCCCAACTCCGCCCACTGCTGATGAAGGCACTTCTTGGTGCAATAGATCGCCATGACGTCACCAGGAAGTGCCAGCATGTAACGTGGCGTCCCCACTCGCTCGCCGCAACCAAGCTGCCTTCTTTTTTATTTTTCTTCTTCAGACACCGCCCTCCAGAACAAGAGGGCCACGCCCTAGCCTGCTACTGAAAGGGCGGAGCCCGTGCACGGCTGCACGCGAGTGTCCTGCCGTTCCGCCAATGGCTGCGGGTTGTTGGTTGTGAGAAGGTGACGTCACTCTATTGCGGGCTGCCTTCGGGACGCCATGTTGATGGTGGCAGCTTTTGGTGCAGGCTGAGAAGCTTTCCTGTACAGTGATAATAATGAGACGTAGGAGATGCAAGCAGCTGTTTGGTGTGTCATCTATGTCAACATGCTTCTCAGGTTATGCAGCTGCTCAGCACACAGGTTTTATAGACCGGAGAGTCCAGACACACAGTACATGAACCATCACTGACACCCAGCTATCCCTGCCACACTGTCCATGTCTTCTTGTGTTGGGCTGGACGTCTGGCTCCGCCTTCTCGTCGCTCATTGGCAGTCTCTGCAGTTCGCTGATTGGCCGCTATGGTCGGTTGCCACGGAGACAGGCCCGGGTAGTTGCAGCGCTCTAGGCCGGGCAGTTTGTAGGCTGCAGAGGGCGGGGTTTGCCTATTAGGTGTGTGTGAGAGGTCACGGGAAGCGGCTCTTACAGCAGCCAGTGACGTCCCCGGTTCCCAGGCCGCCCTCTCCCGCCTCTCCTTCCCCGGGACCCCCACCACAGCCAGCACCGTCGCCATGTCCTCCGGAGGAGACTTCGGTAACCCGCTCAGGAAATTTAAACTGGTCTTCCTGGGAGAGCAGAGCGGTAAGATCCCCTCTCATCTGCTGTCTGTTCCCCCGTGGGCAGTCACTATGTATTTCTCCTCAACCCATCCCGGATCACCTGACCTGTACCCTCTCATACCACCCTACCCTGGTCACCTGCCTTGTGCCACCCCCTGATCAACTTCCATTTACCCCCTCTCTCTGATCATCTGATTTGTACTTCCCATGCCACCTCTGGCCACCTGAACTGTACCTTTTTTATCGCACGCCTGATCACCTGTCATGACACCATACCAGCCTTGATCACTTGTATACCCCCACCCTTCTCATAACACCCCCTTCCTGATCACCTGCCATGTACCCCCACCCTTCCAATAACACCCCCTTCCTGATCACCTGCCATGTACCCCCACCCTTCCCATAAGATCCCCTTACTGATCACCTACCATGTATTTCTGTAGTCCTCTCCTTTATTACCTGCCCTGATCACCTGTCGTGTACCCCATCTCCATACCACCCCAGTGAAGCATGTGTCCCCATGTGCCAAAGTTGCTCAGCATTTATCTTGTGGCCTTGGTTATTTGTAACTTTTGAACCCCCAAAAAAGAGCTTGATAGATATGTGGGGACCCAACCTACAGTTTGCATACCTATGTGATAGACGGCAAACCCAACGCCCGCCTATATTATCATAATCTATCCTAGCACTCGATGCCCATCCCAATCTTCTTATTATCCATCCTTCATCCACCCCTTTTTGCCACCTTCCACCATCCAATCATAGACTCGGACATCCTCCCCTTCATAATTTCATCCTGTCTTACTTGGCAGCCCAATGAGGCACCTCAGTTTGAGTTGTGAATGGGGTTGGACGGGGCAGCACAGGGTGCCTCTCGTTGGGTTGCCCGGGCATCACATTGGATGGGCTGGGGATGAGCCTCAGTGATGACCTTTGTAAAACGTCAGCATTTCCTAACTCTGGGATCTTTGAAGCTGCAGCACCCCAATGGTGGACTCTTGTTTGGGGGAAGAATGAGAGGCAATTCCCCCTCATGCATGCTGTTTTTCCATGTGGTGCGTTAAGGCAGCATGTTGGCTTGTATTGGACCTCTGACGAGCCTCAGTTTTGGCAGAGAAGTGCACACAGAGCTTTCACATATGTGCGTTGTGGTGAGCTGCGGCCGAGGTCTTCGTGTTTATCATTTACATATGATCATTTTTGTTTTGCGTTGTAACCCTGATGACGTGGGAATGTGACACGCAAAGATGTGACTCTAGCCAAAGGGTTTCCATTTTTCTGGCCACTGAGTGTCAGTTGTTACCAGGCTGGCCTGATCAATAAAGCCCGGTGACCAGTGTGTGGGAAAAGCTTTACCATGCAGAAGCCGTCTGGTTTTTCAGTGTCTACTATTTATAAATGTCTTTTGCGTTCTTTTTTTATTTAATGGTTCCTACCGATGAATATTCCTGTATTCTGACGCAGGACCAGCGATGGGTGCCGGTTTACATTCACTGTCAATCATATTTGTCATGTTTGGTAAATTGATTACAAGACCATGACAGCGACTGATGACATTGTCGTCCTGAAACATTTTGGATTTGCAAAAGACTCAACTGGTAATAATACATCTTTTATCCTAGTGGTCCCCATCTTCATCCTTGCAGCATGTACTCATTGAAGGACCTCCCGGCCAGTTCCCTTCATGATGGACCTCCCGACCAGTTCCCTTCGCGGTGCGCCTCCCGGCCGGTTCCCCTTCGCGGTGCGCCTCCCGGCCGGTTCCCCTTCGCGGTGCGCCTCCCGGCCAGAGCATTGGACGTCTATAAAACCTGAATCGGCTTCACAGCCAGACATGGGCGTCAAGGAGCTACAAGTCACTGCGTGCCCAGCCAGCTATACTATAACCGCGGATGCTGCAGATTGCTCATGAATGACCCAGCGATGGCTCGAAGGCTTGCTGAGACTTGTAGTCCAGACCAAATGCTGGTGCTCTGTATGCTGTCTAGCCGTCTGTTTCTCTAGCCAGAGGAAAGCCGTGTGTCTGGAATGCAGACAACTGTAGCCCCGGTAATTAATGCCTTCATTAACTCTAGACAGCTGTGTCTTTTCATGCCGCGCTTCCTGTGATGGCAGATTCGGCTTCCGTCTGTACGTCCATCAGACGTGCGTCATAGCAATGCATTAAAGGGATCCTGTGGTGTATTATACGTCCGCTCTTATTTTGTTATTGGTTCATTAGTCATTTTTGATGTGGCTTTAAAGAAGAACTCTGGGAAAAATCAAAAACGTACCCTTGCCATGGGACTACCCCTGCACTGCAAGGGTTAAGTGCTTGTTTTGGTGTAGGGTGAAAATAATGAAATACTCACACTCTTCTGATAGCATTTGTGCAAACAGTTCCCTAGACTTCTATGGGGCCGTCATCTGGCTAGTAATGCCCCTCCATTGCCCAGCAGCCCATACTCCCCTTCCCTTCGCACTCATCATTACCGTAACCACCCCGTGGGATCAAAGATGGACAGCCCCTTCTAATTTTGCAGTTGGTCCGGTTGTAGTTTACACTAGGCTGAGGACGCTCCGCACCCTCATGTGACAGTGCTGAGCCAATCTCCAAGTTCCAGCGCTGTCACATGGAAGGAGGAATAGTGAGTTATAAGGGTCTGCAGGGGAGGGCCATTAAAGCGCATGTTAAGGCAAATGTAAAAAAATAATATCCTTAAAAAAAAAACAGTAGATGCCTGGCGGTATCTAATGACATGAAATGCCCACAATGCTCCTAGATATCATTGATCCAGGTTACCTAGGCTTCAGGTCACACAAGGCAGCATTGCTAGTAAGCTTTACTTTTTCTTTATTTTTTTCACTCTGAATGATAATGTGAATGACTAACTCAGTGATTCACCCACTATTCACATTTTATAGTCCATTTAAAGCAGTAGCGTTAAGGCACATTCACACTACATCATTGTGCTAAGCGCCCATTAATGCCATTGCAGCAATGCTCTGTGACAAGTGTCATGTGTTGGCATTCGTTTGAATGTCATCCCGATGTACCTTGCCGTTGGAAGTTCGTTCATTCTAAATACCAGGGATGCACCAATACTAGTATTTGGGTGAGTACTCGCACAAATGCTCCCGATACCAAAAGTTCCGGTATCTGGAAGCCGGGCAGCGAGTCATTACAGGCTGCCCGTCCGTCTCCATGCTCCCTCGTCACCAAGCAGCCAGCTCCATGCTCACTGGTGACGAGGGATCATAGAGCCATTACACGCTGCCTGGCTTCCTTATTGGGGCTTCCGGTAACGGTATTCGGTATCGGCGAGTACCGAAAAAAAATGTCGGTACTCGATAAGGAAAAAACTGTTTCGGTGCATCCCTACTGAATACCACAATGACGTGGTGCCATGCAGAATGGGTACTGCAACGAGGTGATGAGTCCCCCAATGAGATGACGTTTCCAGGCCCTAGCGGTATTGCATGGTGTACGGCAATGCTGGGCGCGTTAAGTACTTTGTGTAATGCCTTTTATTCTGAATGGCACCCCAGCGCACCTTGCGACAAAAACGCATAGGCAAAGTGCATGCTCCATTGATTGGCAGTTGCACCGCAATGCATGTTAGTCGGCAGGGTGCCACTGCATTGCACCAACGCACGCAAAGCGTTAACGGGCCTTTGGACTTCTGTATTGCGACAGGTTCACTTTGATGCCTCTCAGCGTTCACCCGTGTGAGAAGATTTTTCAATATCTGTCATCTTCCAGCTCGTCGTCTGGCCGGAGGGGATGGAGGTACGACGAGGACTGCTGAGCCGGCACGCAGACACATCAAGCTGTCTATTCAGCTGGCTCGCTGCTCCCGTTCGCTGTAATGTTCAGAGTCGGATACTAAAAGGAGCCGTCCGTCTGCAGGTAGAAGGCCGGACAGACACCGACTCTGATCAATATCAACAATTTAGTGCGATAATAGGACGGCTGGGACTCTCGGACGGACGCAGAGCTGCCAGGATGATGAGTGGGCTGTCGTAGGGTACTGCATGTGTTCTGGTTATTTGCTTGGAAGGGGGTTTAAAACCCAACTCCACTCAAAAACACCATACCATCCCTTACCCCCTCCCCCAAATATCCTGCCAGGGGTTTCCTTTTTCTTAGCTGGTGAAGCAAATTATACCCCCCCTCCACCCCCCCAATCCAGGTCCCTTGCCGGCAGGGACTGCTAAGCCAGGGCTGCACAGTAACCCTCGCTGACCAGTCTCCTTGACTCCCCTCGGGCCAACATCCATAGTCTTCTGGATCCTGAGAGGACCCCTGCGGTGGACAGCCAATGGAAATTGTCCACATCCCACTAGCATTGACGCGAGCACCAAGAGGATTGACCCCCAGCAGGAAGTATAAGGTGAGGAAAAGAACCTGGCGCTGGATGCTCATGTGACCATAAATTAAAGAACTCCAGGGAATGTAAAAATGAACCCTTAGGCCTCGTTCACACCAGAGGCAGTGCGCTCGTTCCCGAGATGCACTGCATCACATTGGAGCCGGCTCACTATGTTGTGGGGCAGGAGGGGGCGTGGCGGTCCATTGAAGTGAATGGCACCTTAGCCACGCCCTCTGGCCGCACGGGATCGCAAGGCACATTATGCCTGCGGTCCGGTCCTATCAAAATGCAGCATTTTGACCGGACCGCAGGCGGTCCCGTGCGGCCGATTGCATCGCGGAGGGCGTGGCTACGGTGCCATTCACTTCAATGGACTGCCCCTCCTGCCCCACAAAAAAGTGAGCCGGCCGCAATGCGATGTAGTGCGTTCTGCCAAGAATCGGGCCGGAACGCACTGTATCTGGTGTACACGAGGCCTTACAGCGGGGCCGCCCCTGCACTTTAAGGGTTTACTGCTCATTTTTTGTCTTGGGAGCTCAAATACAAAAGATACTCCCCTGATTGATCTAGGGCTGCAGCTAACGATTATTTTCATAATCGATTAGTTGGCCGATATCCTCAGTCCCATCTGGCTGCTAAACCGGCCCTTCTTCACACGGGGCTCCGGCAG